ATGTTTTTAAAAAGGGGCTGGTATATATATACCAGCCCCTTTTTAAAAACATTCCTTCCAGTTCCATGGTGTGAACACACATAGGTATAATCACAGCCCCCTATGATCAGATGAGAGGATGTATGTTAAAGTACTCAAGCACATAGTAGTCCCTTAATAAGCATCAAATTCTCTTCCCTGCTAGGAAGCAATAATGGGATTAGCATAATGTTTCATATCTACTTCCTTCATTTAAAAAAAATTTTAAATGTTTATTTATTTATTTTTTTAATATTTTTTAATGTTTATTTATTTTTGAGACAGAGAGAGACAGAGCATGAACGGGGGAGGGTCAGAGAGAGGGACACACAGAATCTGAAACAGGCTCCAGGCTCTGAGCTGTCAGCACAGAGCCCGACGCGGGGCTCGAACTCACGGACCGCGAGATCATGACCTGAGCTGAAGTCGGCCGCTTAACCGACTGAGCCACCCAGGCGCCCCAGATGTTTATTTATTTTGAGGGAGAGAGCACATGCATGTGTGAGCAGGGGAGGGGCAGAGAGAGAGGGAGAGAGAGAAGATCCCAAGCAGGCCCCACACTGTCAGCACAGAGCCTGATATGGGGCTCGAACCCACAAACCATGAGATCATGACCTGGGCCGAAGTCAAGAGTCGGACACTTAACCGACTGAGCCACCCAGGAGCCTCATATCTATTTCCTTCTATCTATCCACCCATTTGTTCGCCTACGCACCAATAAAATGAACTCAGAAATATGTACATGTCTGCCTTGTCACAGTCCAATGACATGAATGAGTTCCATGAGGACCACTTTCTCATGTGCTCGGAATCAGAGCATCACAAAGGTAAGCCCTGGAGAAGGGTGTGGCGGGTACAGTGTCCAGGGATAAACCATCTCTCCCACCCATCTGTGGCTCAGCCAATACAAAAGGAGCTACAATTGTCAGTTGGGGGTGGCCTGGGACAACACCAAGAACCCATTTCTCCATGGAAACTTTATTATAAATATTCTGTGGGAATAGCTGAAATAGTATCGTGAGCCAGCTTGGAAGCTCAAACTAACATTTTAGCACATTGCTTTCACGAGAAGGCGAGTTCCATGTTCTAAAACTATGATTTACCAATAGCCTCATTTGGGGCTGCTACCGCTTCTCACATGAATTTCATTTTCCCTCATAGCACTCATCACCCTGTGATAGATCACATATTTTTCTACTTACTGCCTCATTTTCTATCAGCCTGACCACCCACTCCAATGACACCACTATGGACAGAGCCTGACACATTGCTGGGATTCCAGAATCACCTGCTGAATGAATGGAGTCATCAAAAGCTAACTTGACCATCTTCAATTTGTAAGCTTACCAGGATCTGTTTTGACTGGCATTTGTGAAACATTAGTCTCAAATCTATGCAGAAAGGAAGTATCATTAACCACCCAATAAACATGAATTACATGAAAACTTAAACTGTCAGCCTCTTTGCAAATTATATTTGTCTTACTCTCAAAGATCACATGAACTTTTAAGGGGAAAAAAGTTATATTTACTGCCCAAGTTTTAAAATTCATGGTAACCATTAAGACATGTGTTATGACAACCGCAAAAACATCTTTCGGCCCAATCTCTAATTTAATCATTAAAACACTGTTTTGAATTCCCTGGTCTTTTTGCTGTTATGGGTGATATTCAGATATTTATCTCCTCTAATTACAGTGCATTCTGTTGATTTCTAAAGATGTAAAATATCAACAGATCTATACTCATTTGATTGTTGCTTCGAACTGAAGCCAATTTAAATTCTCCAGTCTGACAAGGGACCAAATATTCTGAGCATTCAGATGGTCTGATTTGTTGCTACACATCTGTCTTGTTTTATTCAAAGTGGACAAAGAAAACTAACGACTATGTAGAACCATATTAAAATCAAGGCTCAGCTCTTTTTAGAAGCACAGACCCAAACGAAAAGCAAACAATGCTCTAGGCCTTAGGAAAGGGTCCTGTCCAGAGAGTAGAGATCTGTACCTGGGGGTCCATCCTGAGGAAGGTATGAGGGCCTCTGCTGCTCAAAGTCGATCTTTTAAAGGTTTTGCTATGATAAAAATGGTAGTAATTTTCCAGGTTTCCAATCTGCAAAACAAGAAGCAGGACACTATCAGTTAATACAGTCTTAAAAACAGCTTCAAAAATCCTCTATCCCACAAAAATCTTCCCTTTCTCTTAGAGACTCATTCTGCTCCCAAAGGAAACATACCCTCCGTTATGCCTTCCCACTCATCTCTCTGGCATATAGTTGGTATTTACAAACATGACGGTGGATTTAGACAATCCTTTTGGGATAAACAACACAGGGTCGTGATTCCAGTGAAGCAAATCTTGTATTAAGTGCCTATCATTTAAAATGTGTACTATCTTGGCCATGTTCATTTAGGGCCAAGCATCCCTGAAGTAGCTAAGTTAGTGTCAAGTCAGGCTTATACCAAAATATTCATTTATAAACAAACTCCATCTTCTCCACCCCACGGGTAAACTGAAAGATCTAAGAATGAACATTCGCTCCCAAGCAAAACAAGGGAGCCAAAGAAAACACGCACGTCCATCTGCTTGGGGATTGTGAAAAGGTCAGATGAGAACATCCAAACCCCCAGGGTGTCCCAATTTTCTGCCAGGGGTGGTTTGTCGAGACAGATTTCAGCTTGAGGGCTGGACAGAACCAAGAGAAGCAATGGATGTGGCCTTCGGGACAGGCAGGCTCTCATGCCTCAGTGACCCTTGAGTATCAGGACATTGTTCTCAGAAGACCTGTTTTTTGTTCTGACTTTCACTGGTTGTTGAAACTAGCTTGTTGGTCACCATCCTTGAAAGCAGAGCTTCTTAAAAGAGGTTGGACTGAACATTATACAGACTTTCAAGTTGCCCTTCTCAGCCTAAACCATCCTAGTTTTCTTTTCCAGCTTCTGATCAAAGGGAGAATTTAAGACAATCTGTCCTCTAGGATGGCACATGTGTGGTGATTACAATATGAACCTGGTTCAAAACCTTCCCTCTCCCTTCACCACCACTAGCCATGTAATCTTGGGCAAGGACATTCGCCCCCTGTGAATCTCGATTCCTTATGTGTAAAACGGGGACAAAACTACTTAGCCACTGGAGTTCAGTACAACTAAAGTCTGAGCAACGCCCAACAACCTTTGGCTACACCTGCCTCGCTCAAGCCATTTTGTCTGCTGTGACCTAACCCCATGAGGCTTGACCGGCCCAGGCAGAGACCTGGGGGGATGTGGATGCTCAGAGTGGCCATTTCCACAAGATGAGAGCCCTCCAGCCCTCGTGTCCACCCATCCCAGCTGCCTGGCTGTCTCCTGTTCTTGTCAGGAGATTCCCATTTAAAAATCCTCCTTTTTCAGGGCACCTGGATGGCTCAGTTGAGCATCTGACCTTGGCTTGGGTCATGATCTCACGGTTTGTGAGTGTCAGACCTGCATCGGGATCACTGCTGTCCGTGCAGAGACCGCTTCAGATCCTCTGTCCCTCGTTCTCTGCCCCTTGCCTGCTTGCGTGGAAGCTCTCTCTCTCTCAAAAATGAACATTTTTTAAAAATTAAATAAAAAAGGGGCACCTGGGTGGCGCAGTCGGTTAAGCGTCCGACTTCAGCCAGGTCACGATCTCGCGGTCCGTGAGTTCGAGCCCCGCGTCGGGCTCTGGGCTGATGGCTCGGAGCCTGGAGCCTGTTTCCGATTCTGTGTCTCCCTCTCTCTCTGCCCCTCCCCCGTTCATGCTCTGTCTCTCTCTGTCCCAAAAATAATAAAAATAAACGTTAAAAAAAATTGAATAAAAAATAAAAAATATATAAATCCTCCTTTTTCACTTAAACTTGCTCCTGAGTGCTCTGAGTTGTAAGCGACAGCTTACAACTATGGAACACTGAATACTATTATAGTCATGAGGATTAAATAGGTATCATGGGTGTTCAACAAACACTGGTCGGGATTCTCTTTCTGGCTCCTCCCCACGGCTCCTCCATTCCCCTCGCTAGGACCAGGATGCTTTAGATTTGGCCCAATCTGGGCCCACATTCCAACTCGATCCCTTCCTGCGGGTGACCTGGGCTTCAGGCCCTCTCTGAGTCTTAGTTTCCTTGCGAAAATAGTAACTACTGCCTTGCAGGGTTGCTCTAAGACTTAAATTACACGAATATAGGAAGATCTAGCAGAGTGCCCAGCAGGTAGTAAGTGCTCAATAAATGGTTTTCTGCAATTAAGATTCTCAGTTCATGTTCTACCACGGGACACCCCTTCTGCCATCATAAACCTCGTTATTTCGGCCCCATTTTGCACAAAAGCACTTTTATTTCTCCTACAGATGAGTCACCTTGCTCACTTCTTCAACAGAGTTAATTGCTAGATATGTCAAGCCTCCTCCTAACGCATGCCAGAGCTGTGATTTAGAGCCAGAAGCAATAATGGAGTCTTAACTTACAGCAGTATTTAATCAGCATGTTTGCTTCTAAGCTGCCACCATCCCTGGGAGATGTTTCACAACTCCTGGCCTTTTAACTCTGGGCATTCAAGTCAATTCCCATCCAGGGACGTGGAGAAACTAAGAGGTGAATCAAATTTGCTGGCAAAGGGGTGGATTACTCGCAGAGCTGCTGACCTTAAGCAAACCCGTGTCAGGGCAGCCCTGGAGGTCATTCAGGGCAGTACCTGGCCTCAGGGCAGCCAAGCCAGGCCAGAGGTAGCCAACCCCACCGCCACCCAGCTCCCTGCCTTTGAGCCACCATGATCATCCTTAGCAATGGTGTCCAGGGTCTGAGCTAATGAGGGCTGCTCTCCTCGAGCAATCCATGGGAGGAACAGATGCTCCCCAGGGCTGACCTGGCAAACCGGCCCCAGTGGCAGTGGTGACCAGTGCCACATCTGTCTGGAAGTGTATGTCCAGCCCAGCATAGGGACTGGGGGGTTTGGGAAGGACCACTCCCAATGTAGAGGAGAAGGGGACACCAGCCAAGGCTGTCCTCCTGCCCCTGCAAGGTTAGCTGCAGAATAAGCTGGAATGTGTTTCAGAAAAACCAGTGAGGGGGTCAGATCACCGGCTGTTCATAAATCTGACAGCAGCTGCAAGGGTCCCTGAAATTCTGAACACCTCTCTCCACCTTCTGGGTCCTTATGGAGAGTTGGCATGAGTGGGTGGGCAGCAGCCACATTCCTTCCTCATGGCCAAAGATTTGAGGCCAGATAGTGTGATTCAGGGCAGCACAGGACAGAAAGTACTGGAATTACTGTAAGGGTAAGACAAGGAGAGGATGGGGCACCTGGGTGGCTCAGTCAGTTAAGCATCTGACTCTTGATTTCAGCTCAGGTCGTGATCACACAGTTCATGGGTTTGAGCCCCCACATCAGGCTCTGCACTGACAGTGCAGAGCCTGTTTGGGATTCTCTGCCTCCCTTTCTCTCTCTCTCTCTCTCTGCTCCTCCCCCACTCATTCTCTCCCTCCCTCTCTCTCTCTTTCCCTCTGTAAAAAATAAGCATTTAAAAATAAATAAATAAATAAATAAATAAATACTCATTAATTCAGAGTAGGCATCAGAAAACTATGGTCCATAGGCCAAATCTGGTCTATCTCCTGTTTAGCTTACTTTTTTTTTTTTTTTTCGGTGGTAAAATATACATAGTATAACATTTGCCAGGTTATACCATAGTATAACATTTACCATTTATCAGTGTGCAGTTCAGCGGCACTGAGTACATTCACAACGTTGTGCAGCCAACGACACCCTCTGTCTCCAGAACTTTTCTCTCTCCCCAAACTGCACCCATTTCATGAACTCCCATTCCCGCCTCCCCGCCAAACCCTGGCAAACTCCATGCTACTTCCTGTCTCTGTGAGTTTGATGGCTTTAGATATCTCATATGAGTAGAATCATTTGCCCTTTTGTGACTGGCTTATTTCCCTAAACATGGTGTTCTCAAGGTTCATCCATGTCATGACATTTGTCAACACTTTCTTCCTTTTAAAGGCTGAATCATATTCCCTTGTATTTGTATACCACATTCTGTTTTCCATCCATCCATTCATGGACACACGGATTTTCGCTTCCTCCCTTTGGCTATTGTGAATAATGTTGCCATGAGCATGTGTATGCAAATACCTGTTCATGAACCTGCTTTCAATGCTATATACACCTTGTGTTTTTATCAGTAAAGCTTTATTGGAGCACAGCCACACCCATTCATTGACCTACTGCCCATGGCCACTTTCATATTACACTGACAGAATTGTGTGCTACTGAGACCCTCTGGCTCAGGAGCCCAAAACATTTCACATGTGGCCTTTACAGAAAATGTTTGCCAACCTGTGATTTATGGCATTTGCTGCTGAGCATACTTTGGGAGTCCAGCAAAGTCTCTGATGGTGAACATGGCTTCTCCAAAAGTTGGGGACCACCAGTCCACATGCTGAGGGGCTCTGCTTAGAAACATAGGTGCAGCTGCTGTCCCAGCACCTGTGGCGTCTCATGTGGCCATTGAGCTGCCCTTTCTCCAGGAGCCCTCTTTGTCGGATGCCCCAGGAGGTCACTCACATCTGTCTGACTCACACTATCCTGCCCTCTGCCATGGCCCTCCCCTGGTATCAGGCATGGGTCAGGAATATGAGGTTTTCATCATGGCCAAAAGGTCAGAAAGGATCAAGGAGGGGGCAGTAGATGGGTGCACCTGACTGCTCATGGAACACAGCCAAGCGAAAGTCATCTCGCTTGGCTGATGCAGCATTTATGATTTAGGAGCTATTTCCTACTTCCTTCTCCTCCCCCACCCCATCTAAATATTCCTCTGGCTCTCACCTTGCCTGCCACCCCAGTTAATGCCCCTCCCAGCTTAGGGAGCTGCTTTTTAAGATCTCCAGGTACCCACATGAGCTAAGAGGACAGAATGGCTGGGAAGCCTCCATTCTCTAGCAGCATCATTGGGGACATGGCCACTGGCCTGGTTAAACGTAAGGGACATGTCCCACGTGTCCCTGTCACATGGTCCTGACCTACAGAGAAGGGAAAGAACCTTGGGAATGGTCCCATTTTATAAATGGGAAACCACCCAGGGAGTTATCCCCAGTTGTTACTCTCAGGGTTTCCCAATTCCTGAACCAACAATCCCTCCCACCCCACCTGGCCACAGATGAATAGGTGACAACATCTGACACCAAATGACACAGAGAGACACAAATTAGGGCTTAGGATTATTGCAACACTTTTGGTACATCTTCAGGGTCAAATGGACAAGAGCTGGAACCATAAGGATAAATAGAAAAGCTGGGGCGGCATAAAGACTTGAATTCAAGGTGATCTTGAATTCACTTTCCTAAGTGAGGAAATATCATTATTTTGATATGACTTCTGCACTGATATTAAGTAGCTACTCCTCCCAACTTGGCAGTCTGGGCCATCCTGTGCTGCTGTCCCTCAGCCACGGCCTGGGACAGTGTTTACCCCAGGCCTCACTGGCCTCTGGGAGTCACCACTCACGTGCTCTGTGTACCGCTTCTCAAGCCAGTATCGAAGCAGCCTGCCTTTATAAGCATGGGGTGAGTGGCTTCCACAGAATATCGCTGTTTGAGGGTGCTGGCAGTCTCCTCTTCCTTCTCCTCCTTGACAATGAGAGAGAAATTCTTCCCCCAGCATCCTAGGCTGTCTGCCTGTCCTGCTCAGCTCTGAGCCCTTCCAGAACCTCAATTTGCTCTCCATCAATGAATCTGATCTCTGGTGTGCAGAGTGTTTTGTTTGTTTGTTTGTTTGTTTTTTAAGTCACAACATAAAATTTCAGTGCCTTTTCTCTTTCCTGTCCATGGTATTTTCACAATGCATTAATTAGAGCCAGTCTGTTAGTAACCCCCTCCAAGAATGTGAACAATCTTCTGAATATGTAACACTCAGGTCTCTTTACTCAACACTGATGTGTAATTATACACATTAGTTGATAAAATTGGTAACATCATTAAAACATCATTAAAAACCCTGCTAAACGTTCTCGGCCAGAGCATTGGGAGAAATGAGATCAAAGAATCCACAGTGAAGACAGTTAAAGCACGGTTTCTCTTTAATGGGGTACTCTATTTTAACAAATCTAGATGGGGCGCCTGGGTGGCTCAGTCGGTTAAGCGTCTGACTTCGGCTCAGGTCATGATCTCACGGTTTGTGAGTTTGAGCCCCGGGTCTGGCTCTGTGCTGACAGTGCAGAGCCTGCCTCAGATCCTCTGTCCCCTGTCTGTCAACCCCCCAAATAACTAAACATTAAAATAAATAGGTAAATAAATAAATAAAAAGTCTAGATAATGTCTGCACATGGTACAAAATATACATAGTACAAAAGCACACAGAGTTCGCAGGGAATGGCAATTCTCCGTCCTTCCCATCTCCCAGCCACTGAGGGTCCCCAACATTTACTGGGTGCTCCTGGCTCACGTCAAGAGCAGCTGGCACTTGCTGAGCACATGCCATGTGTCAGGCAGTAGGAGAGCAGTTTTAGATGCCTTCACTTGTTTGACTGTCATGACGTCCTTATGCTATCCTCACCCTGAAGCTGGGGAAACTGAGGCACGGAGTGGTGAAGTAACTACTTCAAGACCATATCTTGAGTGAGTAGCACAGTGAGGACGTGACCTCGGAGTTCCCATTCATAACCATCATGCCTTCTGCCTCTTGCCACATTCACAGCATTGGTTGCCATGGGGGGGTTCCCGGTCATCTTGGTTCTCATCCTCGATAACAGGTGTGTTCACACAGGGCCAAGTGGCTCAACAGGTGTCCACTCTCCATTTCAAGCAGAAATCCTGAGAGACATATATTCCATGCACGTATCTATTCCATTACGTCCACATGTGAGCGTATGTGCCCATGTGTACACACGGATATGTGTGCTTATGCATATATATGCACGCATGTATATATGTACGCATTCAAACATGTGTGTATACATGCATGTTCACATGTATATGGATGTGCAGTGTGCAATATATGTGTACATGTATATGGATGTTTGTGGGTATATATATGTATGCATTCAGATATGTGTGTATATGTGTGTGCATGTATGAGTGTGTATGTATGTACACAGAGATGTGTGGGTGTGTGTATATACATGTATGTGCATATTCAGATATGTTTGTATATGTATGTATACAGTTGCCTGGGGTGTTTATGCAAGATTCACAAATAAATGGCTCTGAAATGCAACCAGGAAAGTCTTTGGTTTTCCCACAGCCCTGATATCCAATAGGACCTCCTGAGGCTGCTATTAATTGCTCTAATTCAGAACTTCTGGGTCTGAGGGCCACCAAGGCCACTACCTTGGTCAGAATCACCTGATAGCATGAATGCTGGCTGTGAGCCAGGCCCACCCCCAAATGAAGGTTCCGGCTCCTGGGGTCCCGGCTGCTGCCACACACGGGTATGCCAAAGCCTCTTCCCAGGATACGCTGAGCTGTATCCAGGGACTGTGTCGAGTCCCTTTCCAGGAGGCTGCCCCTCCCTCGCTGGGCCTTCCAGGCTAGCTCCACACCAGCTCTTCTGGGAAGCCTCTCCCACCCACCTGGGTCCCGAGCACATCTGTGCTGTACAGGCTGAGTCTTGCGGGGGCAGGGTCACAGCCTCACCATCTTGGTTTCCTTATTCCAGGCTGAGCATAGAGGGGAGCAGCCCCCAATGTGCATGTCCCAGATGACTCCCCACCACAACCAGAGCCACAGCTAGAGCCGCCATCTTGAGGTCAGCATCTTCTTGCCACCCTCACCTCCTTCCAGATCTGTTCCTCCTCTCTAGGAGTCCCTTGTCTTGGTAAATGGTGCCACACCTTCCACAGGTGTCCAGTGTCACCAAACCCTCTGGAAGTGACCTGCTGAAAGTTTCTCAAGCCTGGCTGAACCCCATCATCCCCACATCAGTGTAGGTGGCCCCACTGCTCTACTAGGACCAAAGCAGGGCCCTGGCTGGCCTCTGACCCTCTTCTGCACCATTGTACTGCCATTCCTACCCCAGCCCTGCCTTCCCTTCCACAACAAAGCCTTGGCCCCTCATGGGGCACATAAGAATCTCCACCACTAGGCCAGGCCACCTCTCTGGCCAAAGGCCTGGCCCTGGTGGCATCACCTCTGTCCTTGGGTGCTGCAGTTGTGTGTCAGCCCCTTCACACCAATAAGACTACCTCCCACTCCATTTTTAACCATCACCTGAGCTATCACTGCCTCCAGGAAGCCCTCCTGGACCTTCCAGGATCAGGTCTGCACACATGTGGCTATCATAACCCACCTTCCCTCCATCCTTCCATGGTAAGCTCTCAAAGGCAGGAACTGTCATCTGTAAATCCTCAGGCCCTGGCAGTGTCTGGTGCATGGCAGAAGCTCAAAACATATTTGGTGAAATGAACAGATTTCAAGTGATACTGGAAGGACACACACGTCTTCCCCTCTCTGCCTTACATATAGTTGTCCAGCGTGGCCCTGGGGCCAACCAAGACCCCGTGCCTCTCAGCCCAGTGACTGCTGTCTTGCCTTTCAGGTTCTCTCTAAGCCTCCCCTCTCATGACGGTGCTGAGGCTGTGGAGTCAGGCAACCATCTACCCGCTGTGTGGCCTGGGCTAGGCCCCATGCAGCTCCTCTGAGCTCCACTCCCACGGGTGCAGGCTGAGCGAGAGGCCATGCAGGACTCTGCACTTCCATCCAAGTGGCCTGGCACCCTTCATTCATGGCAAGCTAACTGGCCTTGGAGAGGAAGACTCTTGGGGACTACAGGTGGGATGAGTATAAACAGCTTGCAAAGCCAAACAAGGAAGGGGCAGAAGCCAAGTGTGTCGGGGGAGAGGCCTGGGCTGGGGATGTTGACAGGAAGAGCCTCTCTTGTCTCGTTTTGGTTTTTCGGGTTTTTTTTTTTTTCCTGTAAATTTGAGTATTTCCAGCTTCAAATCACCTCCCTGCTCATACAGGGCAGGTGTGAGGCCTGAGGGATCTGCGGGTGCTGGCGGCTGGGGTGTACCCTGCCTTCCTGAAGAAAAAGAAGATGATTTGTTGTTTTCTGCAGATCCCAAGGAATGGTAGAGAAGAGCCCCATCTAATATATTACGTTTGATTTGCAGCAAAGTCACTGAGGAGCATGCCAAATCCACCCGAGATGACATCGGATCGTTCCAAAGGTCCAGCCGCCCACTCAGCCCTCCAATGAACGTGACCTCAGATGCAGGTGTGGTTCCCTGAGCTCTCAAGTCAGCACGCTGGGTTGGGGGGCTGGGGGGTTGGCTAAATGCACGCTTTGGTCAGTGCACAAAAATGCCACTCCCACCTCCCCAGGCTCACACAGTTAAATCTGCCTCACGGGAACAGCTGATAAGCAGCCACGAAATGTCACGATCCAAGGTCTCAGAAATGAATGGGCTGTAGATGAGACATCTGACTTTGCAAAAAACTCTTCACTTTATCACTCCCAAAGCCTGCCCTTGGCTGGAAACAGATGTTTCGAGCCCTGTCTGCTCGCAGCTGCAGCATGCCGGCTTCCGGACCTGCTGGTCTTCAGGGCTGGCCTCTTCTGAGGGCCTCTGGCTTCTGGGGAAGAGTCTATGTTTAAAAGTCACGGGCATCAGAGTTCAGTTATATAATAGTATTGATCCCAGTTGGTCTGCTTAAGAAAAACATAACTAATTAGAGCCTATAAAAAAACCTACACACCAAATTAATTCTGTCTTGCTCTGGTGACTCCTACCTGAAGAAAGTTATAAATATAGATGGCCACTGGACCTATATTTAGCCAGAACTGAGTTACCTGGTATTTATAATTAAGGAAGTCCAAAGAGGGAGAATGGACATTTTGTTGTTATTTTTTAAAGCATTAAAAAAAGAAGAAAAAAAACCTGCTTCCCATTTCGGTCACATATACACATAGCAACATTCTGTTACTGCAATAATTACAATTCTGACCCAAGTTAAGATTATTGCACAATTTCCTAGTCTCCTAAAATTACTTTCTTCAACACATATCCACCCAAAGCATGCAATTAAACTGCTCAACTTCCTACAAATTCCTGAAAAATCATTAATTTTTACTTAGCAGCCTTCATTTTCTCTTCCCTGAAGTTGCCAAACCGAATGGTCTGGCCTCCTATGAGGATGTTTATATATTATATATTGCTTGTATATATTATATTATATATCTGGCCTCAACATATACCTTTAACACTCACAAAGAGTCATCTGAAAAACTCTACAATCTTTACTTTGAAGGTCTTCTTTTTTTTTTTTTTTTTCAACATTTATTTATTTTTGGGACAGAGAGAGACAGAGCATGAACGGGGGAGGGGCAGAGAGAGAG